CAACAAAGTCCACAGGGCAGATTCCTTGAGAAGCTAATGTCATTTTGCTAGTCAATAATTGGCCGTCTCCTAAGCAAACAAAAGGTAAATTTGAGATTCTCGGTTTTCACGGCCGCGAATATGAAGATGTTTGTCTTCTGGCATGTCGCGCCGTGTAGTCTGGTAGAGTTTTACCGACATTTCAGAGGCGCTTGTTGCATCCACATCAGAGTGATCACTGTCCTGATGATGAAGGCGGTAAGCATCTTTGAAACGTCGGCCAGTTATTACCAGACCACACCGCGCAACATGCCATAAGACATTTAGAAGGTAAATTACCGTGTCCACAAGAGTCCTCCATCATTGTCCTGTATTCTCAGACGTCCGATGAGTGGCCCACATCTTCAAACCCTGTTTCTTTAAGGTCTCTTTTACTATGATCCTCCCTTCTACGCCCAGGTCTCCCTATGTCTGTTCCGTTTAGGTTTTCCGGCATAGGGCTGACCGACATGGAAATATATGTTGTTTGATGTATCGATTTAAAGTTGACTAACTTCTTAATCGAACATTCTGGTGAAAGTACAAGAATGAGTACACTGGATCACAGCAGGTTGTTCCAATCTTCTCTTCGCAGCTGATTAGCACAACTTGAACCGGGTCAGAGCTTATCTACTTGGTACAGCCAGATCTCAATAAGACTGATTGCAGTTGGTCCTAACCCGAAACCGACGTTTGATGATCCACCTCCCTTCATCTTCTAACTCCTTTACAGACACATGAAAGTCTGTTTCTTTTTTCTTTTCTTTTTTCTCTCTTCTTCTTTCTTTTCTTGCTCGAAGTCGCACTGCAAGCTTGTTCGAAGAGAAAACTCCAGCCAAGTTAACGGAAAGACGCCTGCTAGGGACAGGGGAGTTCTCGGGGGTTGAAGGTTGAGTTCCAATGCTCATTTGTCTAGCGACAAAATGAACGCATAACACTGACGTCACTTCTGACTGTCTCCCCACCCGTTTATTACATTAATCATGTATTATATTGTATTGAGTATTTAATTAGCCATTTATTGAATAAATAAATCGGTTAATTCAGTTGGTCACTTTTCTTGGTTTTAAATTATGTCAGCCATTTAGTCACTGACTTATGTTAGTTTAGTTTCCGATTATATTGATTGTTTAGTCAGACATTTACTTAGAGACTTACTCAGTTAATTTATTGTAAGATAAGTTAATGTAGTCAAACGTCACAGAAGCCGCACGAAATCATGTTTACCTTTGGTTTCGCTAGCAAAAATTGATGAATCGGTGCAGTAGAGGCATGTGGAATATTGTACAGCACTTTGCTAAGTTATAAAGTTATGTCTCACATATTAAGTATATTCTTATGTATGTTATTCCCATAATTTGTTGTTTACTTATCGTAAAAGATTTAAGTTCCAAGTACTTCTTCCTCAGTTTTGTAGACTACAGTTGTATAAGTGGGTGTTAACGTGTAGGATTTGAGTTTTCCGTGGCGCTGAAACCCAGACGACAGCCATCTTGGGTGTAAACATGTTCAAACATCTGTACTCACCCAAACAGAGGAGTTGAAAAGAGTGTAGAAGCAAGCAAGATTTTCCTTTCTTCCGTCTTTGCAATCAGTTCCCCGTCTACCTGCCCACCTATCCACCAGCAAGTCCCTATACACGGCAAGAAAAATTGCCCCCTAGGTTTGGCAGACCTGTGCTACACGCGCCCTCACTCGTTACGAAAAGCCAACCCTTCTCGACGTTCATTCAGCAGAGAAATTCAAAAAGTAGAACACGAAAGGGGATAAAGAATAAAAGAGAAATATTGGGATAAGATTGGAAGTTGTACCGTAGGTGCACAGCAAGAGTGTCAAGGCTGTTGGCAGCATTGAAACTTCCATAACAAGCTCTCCTTTCCAACTTTCTCAGCAAGACGGAACAAGGACTGCATCAAGAATTTCCTTCTTTTTCCCTGCCTTTTAAATATTTAATTTAATTTGTCGTGTTTCGTTGAGATTATAACTGAATTGAGATGGTTTAGAATACGTACCATTAGCCGGCGTTCATGATCACAATGCTGAAGAGAACGGGAGTTTCTGCATTAACTAAATATTAAGCTTGTATCCGTTCAGTTATTAATTGTCCTTGATGCAGAGAAGCAGACTTATCAAATTAGTGATTGAGCACAAATGCCATGCGGTAAGAAACACTGTGGACTGTCAAAAAGAAACGGATGGTGATGATAAACGTTGGGGTTCATAACAGTGAGAAATGTTTTAATTACTTTAGTAAATCTTACTTGTTGGAGGAAGACTCTTTGCCATGGGTTAGTGTCTTAGGTAATGTATTAATTTGTCGGTAAAATGACTGTCTAAGGGACCGGGCTTCTCGGATTCGAATCTTGGCAGTATCAGATATTCGTCTCTACACTGCAACTCTATTAACACCTGTCGAGCCCCATGAAATTGGGTCCTAACGATGTAGTAGTCGAATTGTGAAAATGACCTCGCATATCCGAGGTTCAGAATGCGCGGAACTTTATCTGAGTGTGTTGTGACGTCAGTTGAGAAGAAACTGGAACGTATTTGAGTCATATAAAATTCTGAATTGAGATTACTTGTTTAACGTAACGCCAAATTTATTTTATATTCCTGCAGCCGATTTCAAAATCAGTTAAACGCTGATTTCATTGGCCATCTAGCTGCCGAGGTTAGGGGGATACTTTAATCAATATTACCATATAGTACCAGATATGTTAACAGTATCCTTATTCTTGCAGAAACTGAAGAATTATTATTCTGTTTTCACAGGGACTGCAGAGTGGTGCGGGACCCTCAGACACTCAAGTCCAAAGGTTATGGGTTCGTGTCCTTCGTCAAGAAGGCGGTAAGTTGGCAGTTGTTCGTGGTCTTACTGTTCTTTTTAAGAATTACACACACGAAATTTCTTAATTTATTTAACGACGCTTTCTCAACTTTATAATCTACTCCTAATAGTCAGTATCAGTTACAAATGGCTGTTCAAATGCGCCGTTCGTGGAAATAACAAAAATTTTGACAGTTGACGACTCTGGTAGCAAGAAATACGAACGAGGTTATCGTGGGGTCTTGCGGCGTCGGCGTTTGGCGATAGTCTGGAGTCAGTCGCCGTGAAATGTTTCCAGATTTAATTTGCTCGAAATAAATTTTATAAGTTTTATAAATTTGGTACTTTCAATGGGATTTACGAAAATAATGCTTCAATAAATTGTATTACTGCTCAACACAAAATGATTTAATCCCTTTAAATTTGACGGGTCATACTACACCAGCAGTAACTGTAACAATAAACAGTATGTTGACTTTGTATGCTGAATGCGGAAGTGGGTGTAGGGGAGGGGTTATAGCTTGTAGGATTTGAGGTTTTCATGGCTGCGAGCCTGAAGGTCTTCTGGGTTGTTGCGCCGTGTAGTCTGGTGGAAGTTTACCGACGTTTCAGAGGTCCTTGCTGCCTCCATCATCAGGGCGATCGCAGCAACCCAGAAGACAGCCGTATTCGGTTATAGCTTACTTTAAGTTATCACAGTTTCCTGAAGATACCGAGGAAATCCGCCAGAAACTGAGACTGGGCCTAATATCGAAACTGGAACCTTCCGAATGCGACGCTCAGGTGCTACCACTTTGCAGCCATTGTTCGGTTGTTAACTGTTGTGTTAGTTAAATGCACTGGCATTGCATATCTCGCAAGCACATGGGCGGGTCGACGAAGACAGGGCAGGGCGCTCGAATTCTAAGTGTTAGTGCGAACACGAAGATCGTAACTGCAAGACTACGGTGAGACTGGCTCCATGTACTGCAGCATCTTTCTTATAAATATCATGTTAATGTTTAAGGAAAGATTCTCTGTCTATTGACAGAATCAAGCGATTCGAATACGCACCCCGTGGGTGAAATTCCGAGTTGGCGAACTTGAAAGGCAGCTTGCACCTGTTACAGAATTCAGAATTTATTAACACGGGAGCATTATTTAATTATAGTAAAGTTTAAATACCTGCTATTTTGCGTTATCAGGTTTCTAGAATCATGAGAATAAATGTGGCATGAAGTGCCGTATTGCTAATAATAAGCTTATCTGATTATATTACAGTATTGAACAGTGAGTGTTCTGTCTACCGGTGGACATTTTATTTTCATACGTCTTGTAATACACCCATTCGGTACAGAGGCCACTTTCATCCACTC